GTAATCTCCGGTTGATCTTCCAGTCATGTTTTGGCTCCATTTACGTTACAGACCAAAGGACAGAAGGCAACCGTACAAAAATTGCCGTTCGCCAGAAGTTGTCCGATCTTCCCGTCAGCAACAACTTATCCTGATCTGAACATGTTGAAACGATGCTTGCCATGAGTGTTTCTGGTATCGACTTCCTTCTACTTTTATATACGCATATCTGGAATTACCTACCGCGGGCGGGTACGATTTACGACTAACTCTTGAAGGATAATATTAGTCTGAGTCACTGTATGAATCGAATTTCCTGGATCAGCGGGATAGACGGCGTGTGTCTTTTCAGCCGAAAGTAAATCTTATCAGGAAAGAAATCTCTTGGATTTAAAATCCTAAAAAATGCTGACCATTTAATGCATAAAAACGCTCGTCAGCTGTCGATGAGGAACAACAAATAGATGGTTTTAGTGACATGCTCATTTCATTTAAATGCTTTAAATTATTCCGAAGACCTAAAGAGACCAGAAACCAATGGTGTTGAAGATCTGCGTTCCTTGCCAATGCATCCTTACTACTAAGAGATGTAGGTCTTGTACAATCTATGCACAGATGTATTCCTACGCTTCCCTTGCACTTTTGTGATTTATAAAACCGCTGGAAGCTAATGTTCCACGTTTAATATTAGCAGTATACAATTTGAGTTTGAATTTGGTACAGTTCCAGAGGCCTTAACGACAAATTTATATGGCTTAGTGATTATCTAATTGGTTGTTCCTAGAATGTTGTATAATCAAGTAATCTTGAGCGTTCATGCCAATGCGTCAATACCAAATAGATTAAATTGAGACTCATCTCTGAGAAACAAAATATAAAATTACAAAAGTATTTCATTAGGATTAGGAGACTTGACACATTGTATCACTGACGGGATTCTGAGTTATGCAAAAGAAAAAAGAATAAAAAGTTTGTGATGATATCAGGCTTGTTAACATGAGAAAGAGTCCATGCAAAACTTGCAATCAAAGTGATAGTTGCAACATTTGCATTTCCCATGAGATAACGAAAACAGAATAACAGGAGAACCACCGCATGAGTAGTTTTCTGGATGGCTTAGGTACTGGTAATAGCCGAAGGCAAACAGTCCAAAGGAATAGAAAAGAAAAACGAGCGAATCAGGCAGCTTGTAGTTACATATGACATTTTGGTGTTTGCTTTTCCTTTGCCTTATCGAGTATAAGGCAATACATCATGCAACGTACTACGGTAGCAGACATGCCGATCTGCTGCTGCGTTACTTTCTGCATATGTAGAAGAGCCGATCATTTCAAACGACCGATTAGTAGTAAGGGACATGTGGTAGATTTCCTCAAATCAGTAAAGCAAGTCCAAGATAACTAACTGACTCTAAATCAACACTAAGGCCAAGGGTTGAAGTCAATGCTTGTTTCCCAAGAGAGCTCGACGATTTATCATACGCCATATACAGAAGTTCCTCGTCTTGGGATAGTGCGACTCACGATATTTCGACTTTACGGTGCGCCTCCAGTCTCTGTAAGGATTGCGAGCATAAATATATTATACAGTAACGATATGATCATAATTATGAAAGATTTGCCAAATTTTACAAACAAATATAGAGGATGGTCTTGCTTGCTATGAAAATATTTATAGTACAATTAAGAAAAAACTTGCAGTCAAAACTTGATATCTTCTTGAAGAAATAAGCGCCTGTCCTTGAGCCCTCAACAAGTGTCGACGACTCAGTGCTTTCTACGGGATATGCTGGCGAACGCAAATCATCAGAAAAAACAAGACACTGATGACCCTCTCGATATAGCCACTTTCTCAAAATCACCTATTAGCAGTCAGTGTTAACTTTTCTATTACTAGTATTTAGCTAACTACAATAATTATTCATTCATTAACATATTAAATGACAACAGTTGTTTAGTTGTTTATTTCTCACGTCATGCTCATATTCGACTTACGAGGAGTTCATCGCACCGTAACCCCGTCATAAGTCGAGAAGCATCTGTCCTGAACCTTATCGATAGAGACTAACTAACATTAGAAAACCTATTGTCGTTAGATTATGAAAAAATCGCATTAGAAGCCTACTGCCAATAACATCTGAATTGATAGGATCGAACTGCAGTGCTGGTTACGATTGCGTTGGAATTACTCTTGGGGCCAGTCTCTGAGAATTTTCCATGCACCCAACAACTAGAGTCTTCTAGGATTGCCTGAAGCAGTTAAACTTTTAATTACGGAGCTTGCAATCTACGTAATGTGTTAACTTAAACATCGATTCTGTTTATGGCTGAAACCACTCGGAATGCTGGACGACGTACTCTCATACCTTCATACACCTTCTGTTATAACTTCAACAGATTGCGAGGCTAGCGTATAACACAATGGACAGGATGCACTTGTAAACGAACGAACAAACGATGTGTTGAGTTCAATGCTATGGCATTCGTTATGGCCATGGCAAATACAAGTGAAATGTACTTAATTCTGTCAGTTTAAGTGATTGTCAAAATACCTGTAAGACATTTAACGGAATGAACATGCTGCCTAGGCGCTTGTCAACAGTCACGGCTCCGTAGACGGGAGGAAAAGTATTCCGAATTACTGAATTAACGTTCTACTTAGTGAACGCAACATAGGACTTAACAGACAGTTGTTCTCAGGTCGCTTAAATGAAGATTGATGACTTAACGAGCCATGAGTGAACCGTTTAGGATGCCAATGACTTCCTCACTGAAGCCTGACAGACACGGGTATGTTACACAAACCGATCGCTGGCTGTCATAGAGTAGGATGAGATGGAAACAATAATTCATAACTATGATAGAATGAACATAACTCATAATCGAAGAACAAGCAAATGAAAGAGCCAATGGTTTATTTGTTGCAGAAATTCACAATTAATGAGCAAAAGAAGAAGAAAAACCTGCTGCTTGTGAGTGCGTATTGATTAATGTTAGTTGAAATGCTTGATGTTTCTCTCCGGGACTTAATTATGTTTGCATAGGTCGATACTTATAAGTTCTACAATTAAAAGCTCGATGAACTCAACATTAAATAATTAATGATGCAAGCTGCCATACACAATCCTGTCAATGACCACACAGATCAAGGTATTGGCTATTTTTGAAGTACGTAGCAGGTGGCCACAAAACTGTGGACTGGCCAGAGTAATGTATGAACTAAACGTTTGCACTTTTTCACCTAGATTCGAACTCTTCCCACATTACTCGCAGAAAGTGCTGGGTAATTACATAGGTTTCGTTGAGTCTAGGAAATCGGCACAAGTGGAATACGACGATGAAGTTTTGCGTTCTTATTTCGGCGCCTTTGTAACGCGAAGAAACGTCTGGTGTGTCGTCATCACTCGACTTTCAAGCGATTAGGTAAACTTTATCGCCTCGACGACGACTCGTTTCACGTTAAAAACACAGCCCGCCGTTTGGTCAGCGGAAATGAGCAGCATCAACCGGCAGCTGAAGAGGAAACGAGTTGAAAAATGAAATGTGCTGGAGCATCGATCAACTCTTGAGTCAAATAAACGTTGCTTTTATGATCCCGAAAACCAAACATCGTCTGATGGTTCTTTCCGACGTTAAAGTAAGAAAGTAATTTTTTAATTTTAATGCACGCTTCACACTGCTTAAAGAAATGAAGTGATTTTTTTCCACCTATTAACACTGATTCAACAGCAAACGAACAAGCTGTGGTGTTTGAGGGCGGGGGCGCGGGCGGTTCAGCGAGTACGACTTAGAAGAGGCAAAGAAACAATCCGGTACGTACCACGGTGCTTTTATCAGGCGGAGGTCGCAAATATTGCCAGCCTGGGTCGGCTGTGGCTTCGACAGCGTTGGCCATTGCCGTTGATCAACCAACACCTGGCTCGAATCGGCTAGCAGCTGTGCACGGCGACGGACGGCAAGCACACAACACGGGATGCTGAGAGAACAGAACAACGGAAGCGACTGAACGGTTGGTCGTTAGAAGCCGCCACTATTCGCTGCGCTGTTCGTCCTCGTCGGACACCATCTTGACCATTAACCAGTTTTTCACCAGTCAGCCCAGGAATCTATCTGTCTGTCACAGACACGAGTCGCCGTCGTCGTCGTCGTCGTCTTCGTCTGTTCCGTTCCGAGTCACGGCCGCAAACACTCGACGAAGCCTATGAGGCCAGTGTCGGCACAGTGAGTTTTACGTCAGTGTTTACACTGAGCACCGAGGAAAGCCGCCGAGAAATTGCTCCTCTTTCTTCTCGGTACATGTTTGAAAATCGATACCTTACGTTGAAGTCCCGTCTCGTCAAACAAACTTGGGGAACAACGCCTGTGAGAGAAAAACAGAGAGAGAGTGAGAGAGAGAGACAAGTTCGAAATGGAGACGAGAGCAACGAAGCCCGATCACCCTTACAGCGTTACAAGCTTATTGGCGTTGTGTAAAAGTTACGGAGTTTCGGGTGCGAACACCGCTGCTCATTTCTGAGTTAAAGAAAAAACGTCTCATCGGCTTGCAGCCACCAGTCGACCCTCCTCGAGCTTCAAGAAAGTGGCCGAATAATTTGCGACACATGTCTGTGCGCATCATTAGCAGTGGCGAGTTTTTTCCGCATGCCGTTTTCCGTATCACCCACAATCAGAGGTTAGAAAACGGACAATTTCCTCCTTCTGGCGCCCAGCTGTCTCGACGTCGCTTCAATAAAAAATAAGACCAAGGTGCGACGACAGAAGCACTGCTGTAAACATATGCGTAACTAGTGAACATTGTTCATTTTGCACTGGTCTCTCCGTGTCAAGTCACTCGATGCTTCACAAGAATTTGCTGAACAAAGGTAGACAAAAAATGTTGCCCACCAGGGATCAGTTAACCATTTCAAGCTAAAACCCATGCGTTGGATGGACCACTGCTGGCTAAAATAATCTGAATGATATATAAAAGGTAGAGGCTCGCGAAGCACGCCTGCGTAGATGCAAGTATGCGGTTCTTCCATGCATTGATGAGCGCCTAAGTTCCAATATTGAGGTCTCGACGATATGTCAGAATAGATTCGACGATTACACCTGATAAATCATGTTGTCTATTAATACAGCGCTAAAAAGTGCTTTTTGCCATGCTTTTAATAACCGTTAATGAACGCTTTTTAAAGACTACTGAAAATATATAAACTGCGATATAACGGATTTTCACAAAATAATATCGCCTTACAATAAGATAAAACCGTTCAAGAAACCACAACTAATCACCAGCGCAAAAATTAAAACAGTATCTCTCATGCCCACAGAAGAAGCACAGAAAGTCGTCACCGTAGGGAGGGGTCCAGTGTCTAGAGCATGAAGTGCATTGTACGAAAACTTTTAGACGGAAGAAGCAGAAAAAACTGTGGTATGGCAAAACAAGGTAAGATATGCAAGATTATGAATAAATTCAAATGTGTGAAACAGGAAAACGACATGGCTCAAGGTGGCAAATACTTCTTCAAATGCTAATAATTGATAATCTTCCGAGAGATTTCCAAAAGATCCAAAATCAGAAATCAGCCTATCACGCACTGAGGTAGAGGAAGCCTTCCTTACAGATGGAATCCGTAGATAAACCAGAAAGATACCAGGACACGACGGCATTTCAACTGCTTAATAACTCGTGCAATATGAAACGTTTCCTAATCATGGATGAAGATTACTGGAATGCCAATAAATGAATTGATTAAAGAAATACTTACCTACAGTTGTAAATGGCTCTGTCAGATCATAATTTCGTTCGACAGGATGCTGGACAGTACGCTCGTAAAAAAGAGGCAGAGAGTGGCGGAAACCAATGCTCATTTTTCCATTTTTTAGGCTGATAGTAATGAACGCCTGAACGTCATTTTTGCATTGGAATCAGTTCTCGAAAATATAGCGAAGCTTATTTAAATAATCTTCTCAGAATGAAAAGCGGTATAACACCAAGGACGACAACCTGCTAAAAAATCAGAGCAACACAGATATCTGAACAATATTTTAAGCAATGACGAATATGCGATGAAAACGATGCCTTTCCTGTTCGGATCAGGGTCCACTAAATCTCAGATTTGATCCAGTGTATGTTTTTATGAATGACAGACGCGGCAAACAAATACCTGATCGAACCAACAGCACGCTGGATCCCTTATCCTGAAATGTACGAGAGTCGTCCGGAGTGCATGGGGCTCGATTCATACTCATGCACCATGCATTGAGGCACCATGATCGAATGAGAATGCACATCTTAAAGGATTCACTGAACATTGCTAGCAGCTTTTCAACAGTTATCACCGATGTTTCGCGTTTACGTCAGTTTGTCTTCTTCTAACACTACAGGTTAGTGGAAATAAATTCATACAAGTAGTAATCTAAGTAACCTCATTACACCCTGAGTTGGACACGTGGCATGAGTCGGAATTGGAGTTGGTCAAATAACGAAGGATAGGTTGAAATGGTTGAAAAACACTGCCTCCTGTTTTGCCAGATTTTGTCAACTAATTGAAATGTGGCGTCATTGTCCTCATATTCATAAGGGGATGAGTGACTTTAAAATCTGGGATAACGTTCATTCTGGATTATTACTGCAAGATAGAGATAAGCGTTTGATTGGAGGCTTCGCTTTAA